TGGTAATGAAATAAAATGACAAAGATACAAACATGTATCAAATATATCTGCTCACCTGCAATTTATAATGGCGCATTGTAGTCACCTTCGTGCACGAAAGTTCGTTCAATCTCAGCTGTTCGTCAGTTATTAGTTAGTCAGTGATGTCAGTTATTTGCTGTTGTATCGTCAATTTTCAAAATGCAAATGATCTGTTTACTTTATTTTCAAAGAACAGTTTGTTTTGTTATTGTTTGGTTGGTGTCTGTATGAAACTGTGTCATTGCGCAATTTATTGGACAGACTTGTTTAAGATCACACAGCGTAATTTGGGTGGCATTTTATTTCGTATTTTTAAATCATCTTTTTATTTTTGACTATCTGTAAATGTAGTTTCCTGCTCTTAATTGTGAATGCATACTTGATGGTTTTAAATGCTCCTGAAATTAAGTGCTGCTTGACGAGCCTATACAGTATTGTGTTCATAATATGTGACGTCATTGAAGGCCTAAGGTAGAAATGCACGGCCCGCCACTGTATTTCAAAAATCCCACACATTATTACTTACTGGTCTGGTTTTGTTGATAATCTACACTGGGGAAAATCTGGCCTCTCCCATACAAATACCTCCTGACTAATAAAGTAAGGGAAATCTCTTTTAAATTGATACACAAATACTATCCCACCAAGCATTTTCTTCTTAGGTTCAAGAAGGACATCCCTGTTGAGTGTTCATTTTGTGGAATGTACCCTGAAACAATGGTTCACTTGTTCTGGCAATGCCAGTATACCAACACATTTTGGAAAGTTGTATCCAGATTTATTATTGAACACATTGACTCTGACTTTATGCTATACTGGAAAAATGTACTTTTTGGGTTCTACAAAAGTAAGGAAAAAAACACTAAACAAACCATCATTATAAATTTAATAATCATTCTCGCTAAGTTCCATATCCACAAATCCAGATGGAATAATTCGAAACCTCTTTTCTTAATTTTTGAAGCAGAAATAAAGCAGTACCTGAGTTCTATTCTGGATTGCAAAAATAAGAACGCTGTTAAGACTCTGGCTATATGCTCCTTATTTGAATTTTTTGTCTAAAAATCCCCTGGCTTCTTTTTTGTTTAAACGTTTGTAATATATGTATGTATTAATAACATGTTCGTTTTGTTTTCTGTTTACTGAGACTTGTATTCTGACTTGTTCAATAAAGATTATTAAAAAAAAAAACTAAGCGACCTTCTGCGCAGAACGTGCAGGGGCCGCAAATGGTAAAACAGGGAGGCCATAGCTGCCATCGACTGGAAATTTGCCCCGGCTTTTTAGTTCATTATTACTTCACATCGGTTATAATTTCAAGCAGCAAAATTGTGAAAACAAAATCCGGTGCCGCAATGTTTGATGACGCACGCAATATGATGGCGCAAGTTGATGGCGTCACATGCCTCGTCTCAATTCTGCAACTGCTTCAGACATGGAATTGTCGATCTCGAAAATTACGTAGTATCACCCGCACACTTAATTCGAGGATCAAACAGTAGTGTGGTTATTTGGACGGGGCCTGCGGCGTAGTGTGGATGTCGGGATTCGTGATTGGGCTGAAGAAGAAGAAAACGAAGAAGTAGAAACGAAGAAGAAAACTGTAGTGGTGGGAACTTTCAGGCGTTCACGACTGCATTAGCCATCAGTTACAACGTTTGTTTGGTAGTCATCAATAGCAATTGCTCAATTGGAGGCGGAAGTGTGTGGATGTTTGTTAAACTTATGACATAAAATCAGTAACATGACTGCATCCTGCGTGGAGTACACTATTGGAGGTGTGCGGATCCAGTTCCCCTGCAAGGCGTATCCATCCCAGCTGGCCATGATGAATTCAGTATGTAAAATTTGTCTTTAATAAACATATTTACTTTAGTTCAAAAGAACGAACCCAGCAACCTTCACTGATATTCATGTCCTCCTCTTTTGAGTTGTCTTGACGCATGGGAGCCATGTGGTGTGACATAATCTTTTGGTTGTCTGGCGCGCTGGACGATTCACGACCGCGGTGACAAAGTCTGGTATGACAGGATTTGTGTTCGTCTTGCCGCACAGTGTGACGTGTCCTACATCCTTCGATTGGTTCCTCGGCATTGACCATTTGAAAGACAGTGCCCTCCTACTGATGACGAGAGACTGGACGCGCACAAACGAACGAAATGTCGAAAAAGGGAAATATTGGAAAGTATACTTCGCATCACAACTCATGCTCGTTTGCTCACAAATCTAGTCGATGATTGGCAAACGGGGTGTCATTAAGCAAATTCCTTACCTAAAGTTATATGTGGAGTATAGACAGTCCTTTCTTCCCTCTCCCCACCATCCATGAATGGGTCTCTCTCTCTCTCACACCCTCTCTCTCTCTCTATATATATAAAGATCTATCTATCTATCTATACACGCTTTTTTTGTTTTTAATTTTTGCTTTTCTGAGCAGAGAGCAAACACACGTGCACATAATCCTTCCGTAGACATAATTTTGACAGCTGTGCTTGTCCCGCCTCCCCGATAGACCTGTGGCGAATCTTGAAGGAAACATGCTACGATTGGGCTCGGGCTGGCCGATGATGGACTTGTAGTGTGGCGTCTCGCAATGTCCAAGACATAGAACAGTATTTATCTGGTAGCCTGGCAGTGCGTCCGTCGAGAATGACAAAAAAAGTTGTGGAGTTAGAAAAGGCCATTAGTCCAGACCCACGACCCAACCTTGGATAAGTGGAAGAAAATGATGATGATGATAATGATAATGACGATGTCACTTGTTTTTTTGTTTGTTTATGTTTTTGTTTTGTCAGAAGCAATACAATAAGACATTATAATGGGTGTAGTTTTGCACCACGTACCAATATCAGGCGGATGCAGCGAAAGCGCTCCAACCCCAAGTCATGGAGCTGGTGTGCAGCAAGTCAGCCATTGTGAATATAGAGGGTGGAAGCACATCTGTGATGCTCATTGGGTGAAGTCCTTCCCGTTAAAATAAATATCAGAGTCTGGGTGTGTACTTTGCAATGTTCACAGCCATCTAACCTAACTAACACTATATGCTTTTGATAAATATGTGCACATTTTGAGCCGGCTTTCTCGATCAACCCCATTCAATGTTGCGCAGCTTGACCTGTTTGGAATATTTTGGCAATGTAGACTGCACACTTATCTATTTCATCCAGTGGTATATATGGTACTGTTGTAAAACACAATACA